CAGTTGGTTAAGCGACTGCCTTCGGCTCAGGTCATGATCCTGGAGTCCCGGGATCGAGTCCCGCGTCGGGCTCCCTGCTCGGCGGGGAGTCTGCTTCTCCCTCTGACCCTCCTCCCTCTCGTGCTCTCTGTCTCTCATTCTCTCTGTCTCAAATAAATAAATAAAATCTTAAAGAAAAAAAAATATGTCTCCCATTTCCTCACTCCTCTCCTGATATTTGCTCTGAATCCTTGTCTCAGGCTCTGCTTCTGTGGGATGGGTTGGATGAAAACAGCAGGAATTTTTGTGCCTCTCTTGCATGGCAGTCTCCCCAGCCCTGCAAACTGCCTGGCACACAGCAGGTGCTCAGTAAATAATCATTGGAGGAATGACCAAAGAGGCTATGCCCCAGCCCTTGTCAAAGTCTTAGAGGCAGAGAGCTGCTTCCACAGGAAATGTCATGACGGGGCCTGGACAGGTCAGCAGAGAGAGGTGGGAATGGGAGGCTGGAGGGGGGTGGTTCCCCTGGTTGCTCAGCAACCTTCATGGTCCTGCCCCCACCCTCCGTGTCCCCTGGCTCCTGGCTGCCCCTGCCCACCTGCTCAGCTTTCAGGGTGAGTTCGATAAAGATCTGCTGCAGCTTCTCGTTGACAAAGTTGATGCAGAACTGCTCAAAGCCGTTTTTCTGCCAAGGGAGGCCAAGGGTGCTGCGATCAGTGGGCTGATGCTGGAGCCTGCTGGGGCCACTGGGCTACCGCAGGAGGCTCAGGGAGGCACAGGGTGCGGGCTGGGGAGCAGAGGCCATACCTGGAAGATCTCAAAGCCATAGATGTCAAGCACACCAATACTGTACTCCTCCTGGGGCTTCTGCATAGCCTGGTTGATGGCCTGCAATGTGGGTGGGGAGAGTAGGGGAGTGCCAGCTTGTCACCCTCTGCGTGGGCTCGGAACCACGTTCGTGGGCTGTGTCCTCTCTTGTCAGCTCCTCTCCTGCCTTCTCCAGCTCTCTGTCCCCCGCCCCCAGACACCGCACAAGAAACCCAGGTGTTAGAAATCCGGGTTCCTACCTTGGGAGCTCGCTTTGCCTCTTAACCATTCTGCACTTCTATTTTCCCATCTTTAAAATGGGGGTAATAACGGCAGCCACTCTGGAGGGCTTTATAAAGGCATTAAACTGACGCATGTAAAAACACTTGGAATGGTAGCTGGCGGAGGCTAAGCGTTCTGTAATGTTGGCTCCTAGAGCATTGTCATCATGTTTGGCCTTGACACGTCCAGTGCATCCCTCTGTCCTCCTGACAGCCCCCTTGTGGCTCTCAAATGCACCCATCTTACTCCGTCCCCACAGCCCCAACCCCAGTCCAGGCCTGGATGGTTCCAGCAGCCCCCTCCCTCCCGGGCTCTGTGCCACAGCCAGATGGAGCCTCCTCCTAAATCTTCCACCTGATCCCCTCCCGCCCCTGCTTGATGCCTCCCTTTGCCGGGAATTGGTCAGGTGGCTGTCAAGCCTGCCTTCCACACTTGGCTGGTCCAAGCCCAGGGCGCTGTGGGGCAGGGCCTCTCCCACTCCCTGGCCCCGGCCCCTCTCACCTCCACGAGAAAGTCGAAGAGACGGGCGTAGAGCCCCTTGGCCAGGGCATCGCGGGTGTAGGCCGCCTGCTCCACGTTGAGGGTCACGTCGATGGACTCGCTGCGTCCGCCCCAGCGGCTGTCCATCTTGCGGCTGGTGAGCTTCTCCTGTAGCCGCCTGCTGTCGATGCCCAGCAGGTAGGCAGGAAAGGCCAGAACTGCCAGGGTTGGGGGGAAAGAGAGCAGCCAGTTAGGCTCTGGGGCCTCCTGTGGTACTTCCGTCACCCTCCTTTGTGCCCAGTGACACAGATATTGTCCTCGTGGTTCTTACCCTCCTGGGACCCTTCCTAGGAGGAAGCAGTTGGGACACACACATCCACCCCGCCCTCCCCAGCACCCACACTCACGGTCCACACTCTCTACCCGGGCGTAGTTCCCATCTTCACAGAAGCTGATGTTTCCCAAGTGCAGGATTCCCGCCACCAGCTGCAGGACCAGCTGCTGGATGTTGGGCGGGATCCCGATGACCTGCATGGCATTCTGCAGGCACACAGGGGCAGGAACTGTACCACGATTGCCCTCCCGGGTTAGGCTTCTGGGGCCACAGCATGGACGCAGGGAGGCAGGACACCTGGATCCCTGTCTTGCTTATTTCACCCACTCGCTGTGTGGCCTGAGGCAAGTCCCTGCCCCTCTCTGGGCCTCGGCTTTCTAGAGTGGTGGTCACTGCTCACCAAAGTCTCACTGAAGTCGCTCCGGTCATCGGTGCCATCCACCTTGTAGGTGTCCGATTGGAGGTAGTAATAGTAGTCGGGGGTCATGAGCCCCAGGTTCTGCCGCTGCTCCTGGGAGGCTCCTTCCAGCAGCTGGAGGGCGAGCAACGCTCATGCATCTGGCATTGGACTGGCACAGCCCTTGTGATGCCCCGGTCCTCACTGCCCTGGGCTCCGGGACACTAACCCTCCCATGTCTCCCCTTGGGCTCTCCCTCTGCCCCAGCCTCACCCTCACGGCCCCTTTCCTTGCACCTGATAGTAGATGTGGAAGTTCCTCTCGTTTTCGTTCTGCATGACCACACGGGATTTCTCTAGCAGGAAGTTGGAGATCTTGCCCCCGTCCGGCTCCCCGCCTCGGCTGAACTGGATCTCAAAGTATTTGCCCTGAAGCCGAGAGAGCCAGATGAGGCGCCCAGGGTTCCCCGAGGGTGCAGGTAGGGGAGGAATTGAGGATGGGTCTTAGGAGCCCGGCCTCTTTCCCACGTGATCTCAACTCTCCTCTCTCCACCTCCCACTTACGGACTCGTTGCTCTCTGCATCAGCTCCTTCCCTCCAGTCTCTGTTTAAGCTGCTCCTTCTCTAGTAACTTCCCCTCATCAGGGCATCCAGCCCTGTGCCTGGCACATAGAAGTACCCCATTTTATTGACCACTTTCCTGGTCCTTCGACCCCAACACAGAGGCCTCCGTGTCTCTTCGGGCTGCTGCTGGTTTCAGTGATCCTGGCTGTCCCTCACAGGTTGTCCCTGAGCCCAGAGCGAGGGCCCTACAAGCCCCTTCTTTGGTCTCTGACAATATCTGGGTTCTACTCTGGCCAGAAGTTGGAGGGCAGAGAAGCCCCCTTACTTTTTCCTTTCTGCCACTGTCATGCAATGACAATACCCATTACATCATCCCACTACACAGACACCTGTAATACAAGACATATGCCTATTCTCTTGTACAATAAAATAATATAAAACATAACTATGTGTTGGAGGTTCATCCATGTTGTTGTGTGTATCAATAGTTTGAAAATATATACTGTTTGATTCCATTTGTATAAAGTTCTAGAACAGCTGAAAAATGGTGGGAAAAAAAAAAAAGACCCAGAGGAGTGGTTGCTTCTGGGATGAGGTGGGAATAAAGGTTGACTGAAAAGGGAGGGAACTTTCTGGAGTGACGGTGATGTTCTGTGTGTTGATAAGGCTTTCGTTGCACAGATGTATGCATTTTTCTAAACTCGGTGAATGGTCCACTTTAGATTTATGTGTTTTGCTATATGCAAATTTTACTTTAAAAGAAATGAAAGAGCACTGCAAATTTATATTGGACTATAATTAATGATCTACATGCTGACGTGTTGGCAGGGCAGAAAGTATGGTGTCTGCTGTCTTACTTTTTAGTGCATCAAAAAAAAAAAAAAAAAAAGATGAATAGGAGCGCCTGGCTGGCTCAGTCAGTGGAGTGTGTGACTCTTAAACTCAGGGTTGTGAGTTCAAGCCCCACATTGGGTGTGGAGCTTACTTTAAAAAAAAAAAAAAATGAACAGATGGAGATATGATAAAGTGAGTATAGCAAAATGTTAATGATAGAATCTCGGAGATGGGCATCAGGTGTTCACTATACCATTCTCCCAATTTTTCTGTTTTATTTTATTTTTTTAAAGTAGGCTCCACGTCCAGTATGGAGCCCCATGCGGGGCCCGAACTCATGACCTTGAAACCAAGAGTTGGATGCTCAACTGACTGGGCCACCCAGGTGCCCCATTAAAAATTTTAATAATAAAATGTTGAGGAAAATACTTAAAATATAATTACATGATGAATATGTTAGACATAAAAATATAATTAATAATATTTAGGGGAATAAAAATCTTATTAGTGTATGGAATTTATTAAATCATTTCATGTGTAGGTATTGGACTGGAATTATTGAGGTCTGTGAGATGGGTATTAACATCATCCCCATTTTATGGATGAGAAAACAGGAGCCTCAGGAGGTTTAAGCTACTGAAACATTGTTTTTGTTTTTGTTTTCCAAGCCACAAATCTAAATAGTGACAGAATCAGACCATAAATCCAGATCTGTTGGCCTATTCTGTCTTCCATTAGGCTCAGCACTAACACCTGACAGAAAGAAGGAGCCCAAGAACAATTTGTTGAAAGAAAGAATGAATGAGAGAATTGGGAACTGAACTGTGAATAGGAACGGATGTAGCATGGTCACAGCCAGGGAAATATTTAAGAATGTTACAAGTCAAGGCTTCTACAGTTCAGCTGATGGGGGAGTCTTTTCAGGACTATAAGCAGGAAGTGAGTCTCTCATCCCAGGAGCAGGGAGTTCCTATGTTATTGAGAACACAGGTGTGTGTGTGTGTGTGTGTGTCTGTGTGTGTATGGAGGGAGCAGTTGCTCCAAAACGGGGCTGCAGACTCACAAAGCGGCTGGAATTGTTGTTGCGCACGGTCTTGGCATTGCCGAAGGCCTCCAGCAGTGGGTTTGATTGCAGGATGATATCCTTCACGTGCTGGGGGCAGAGGCAGGTGGAGGTGGGAAGAGGTCAGGACGAGGTAGGTTGTCGTGGGGGTTAATTACTGTGCTTCTGGGGAGACCCAGCCCGTCCTTCTGTTCTCCCCTCACCTGGACCTTCTCACCCCCGCCAGACACCTTGGAGATGTAGCCCATGATGTATTTGGCTGCCACGGTCTTCCCAGCTCCACTCTCTCCACTGGGGGTGGGTGAGGGAAAGAATGATCAACAGCCATTGGGGAGGGAAGGTTGGGGGGGATAAGCGCCCTTTCTAGTGCCTGATCATTCATTCATTCGTTCATTCATTCATTCATTCCCTACTGTGTGCCAGGCACTATACCAGATTCTTGGGAAACAATAGTGAACAAGACAGACAAAAATCCCTGCTGTCTCAGAGCTGACATTTCGAATGGACAGATGGACAATAACAGAATGAATGAATAAATATATCATGGGTCAGGGGGTGACAAGGAAAGTAAAGCAGGGCCAGGGGCAGAGAGGGACAGTAAGGTTCTGTTTGGATCAGGAGTTCTGAGCAAAGTTCCCTAGGGTGCTGAGGCTGTTGTGGGGCCTGGGCAGGAGGGTGTGGAGACCCCCCCCCCACTCTGTACCTGATGATGACACACTGGTTCTCATAGTCAATGAGCATGTTGCGATACATGTTGTCCGTGAGGGCATAGATGTGTGGGGGATTCTCGTACTGAGCCTGATGGGGAAGGTCAGGTCTTAGCCCAGGGCTAGAGGCTGGGGGTCCCGGGGCTATGCCTCCCACCTGGCCCTGGTCTTACCGCGCCCTGGTAGAGGTCGATCTCGCGGTCAGTGAAGTAAGGCATCTGCTTGAAGGGGTTTACGGAGATGAGCACCGAGCCAATATAGGTCTGGGGTGCCGTTAAGGGCTGTGCGGTGTTCTGGCTGGCTTTGTTCCTCATGGGCCCCTGTCCCCTAAATCCTAATCCCCTGGGGCCTCCAGAGCCCCACTGCTCAGAGCGAGAGATGGAGATACTCAGATGTGCTCTGGGTCTCTTCGGGAAAACACAGAGTTGGGTCCAGAAAGGAGAGATGGAATGTACTGTGGCTGAGCTACCCAGGGCAGAGGGAGCAGTGAGGACCCCAGCCGCCTCCAAGCAGAGCCCTGCTGTCACTCCCATCTGTCCCCTCCTCCCGCCCGATGCTCTCACTGCCCATCCCTCCTTCTGCTCATAGGCTCAGGCATCTGTCCGTCCCTTCCGTGCTGCAGCCTCTCTGCCGCCCTTCCCTGCGTTCATCCACATGCCATCCCTCCCTCCACTGGTCAGTCACCCTCCTGTCCCTGTCTCCATCATCTGCCCACCCCCGCCCACGGCCCAGGGTACAAAGATGTAGTCGTCCATGAAGCGCTTGCGGAGGTTGCCCACGATGGCGTCCTCGGTGATCTGGGGCAGCAACACCATGTCATCCACGCCGCTCTGCTTCACATTGTGGCTCTGCCAGTGGAAGCGCTCCTTGCTGCCCTGGGGCGGGGGTGGCCAGATGGGAGTGAGCCCCCGCCAGGGGTGGGGGTGGGGTGGGGGGGAGGGCGCGGCGGGGGTGGTCCTGATGTCTCAGCGCCCCCAGCTGGCTCACCTCCATCACCTCCTTCCGATTCCGCCTCACCTCAGCCACCGGCCAGCCTCCTTCCCCAATTCAGGGACACCCGGAGAGGTGGGCGAGGTGGAGTCCGGGCTCCCTGTCCCAGAGGAGGGGGCTCTGTCCTCCCATCCCTCCACCTAGTGTCCCACTGTCACGGATGCCAGGCCCCGGGGGCGGGGGCAGAGTGTGCTTGGGGCTCCGGCGGCTGTGGGAGGGGAGGAGGGGGCCGGGGGAGGCTTGTTTGGGGGGGTTGACTCACCCTCCTTCTCACTTCTCTGTGGCATTTGACCTGCTGCCCACCCTTCCACCTCTAGATGGCCTCCTTCCTCCTCCTCTCCTCCTCCCTCATGGTCACGCGTCCTAGCCTGTCCTGGCTGTGACCTCTGTCCTCTGTGCCCCGCTGGCTGGCCGTGACCCTGCTCCTCGGCCCCCACAGCTTTCCCTTCTCGTTTCCTCCCTCAGTTTTTTTTTTTTTTTTTTTTAAATCAGGTGAGACTTTCCTTAGGCCCCTGGGAGGAGACTCGGACGCAGGCTCTCCCCCAACAGACCCCTCCTCCAGGAAGCCTGCCTGGAATGTTTTCTCTTTTCAGCCCGACTGAGCTCATCCAGCGCCTCGGACACTTAAACATACTGGGTGTCTCAGGTGCGCTCTGTTCATTATACCCCTGCCATGGAGGAGTCTGGCAAACAGGTGAGTGATGGCGGCCCGGAGCTTCCCTGGCAGGCGTGCTCATGCCTACATGAGATGTCCCCCCTCCAGGAAGCCCCTCATTCTCAGACCAGGAGCTCTTGGAGGGCAGGGACTGGGACTGAGTCCTTTCTCAGCTCTAGAAGGGATGACCTGACGGATGAACAGGGAACAGTGGCAAAGAAAGAAACCCAGCTTCAGAGGAACACCCCAAGAGCAAAGGATGCTGGGAATCAGAGGCAAGTCCTCAAAGCTGACCAGTGTTTGCCACACAGATTCCGGGGAAGAGAGATGGTGCGCGGGGCGGAGAGGATGCAGGCGGGCGTGGAGGACAGAGGTGGAGGAGGGGCCAGTCTCTCTTGGGGACCCTGGGGAATTCCTGAGCAGGGGAGGTACAAGGTCACATTCTGGACATGCTGACAGCCAGAGCAGGGTTCATTGGGGAATGCCCACAGACATTAAATGAGGCCAGTTTTTGGTGGGGGGTAGATCTGGGTTCCAATCCAGGTGGGGTGATCCAACACCACTCTGAGCCTCAGTGGCCTCATCTGTACAATGGGAGAAGCAGCCTCACTTTCCAAGGCTAACGGGAGGGAGTAAACTGCTCTGGGGTACAAAATCCAAAATGGGGTGAGGGGCTGGCACTCCTCTCCAGCCCAAGGAATGGTGAGGACGGGCCCCTGGCGAGGGGCACTGGACGGAATTAACATTCACCAAGCGCCTATGACATGCTTGATGCAGGGGGGCCGGCGGTGAAGCCAATATTATGAGCAGTCCTCACGGCAGCTCAGGGGAGTCTAGGGGCAGAAACTGAGGCTCGAGAAGTGTTTGACACTTGACTACGGACCCGGCTCAGTTGTCTCCGAGGGTGTGGGACTGGAGTCTGGATCCATCTGACAGCAAAGGCCAGGCTCTTGCATCTACACCCACAAGTGGCTGGGGCCCACGGGGTGTTTGGGCTGGGCCTCGAAAGTCAAGAAGGGCTTTGGTCAAGAGCTGGGAGGAAAGGCGTGCCAGGCAGTGTGCGGGTGCAGAAGCAGGAGCCGAGAGCAGAGGAGGGAGCCTATGTGGGGGCTTGGGGCTCGAACCCCTTCAAACTGCTTCCAGCCTGAGCCATCAGACTGAGTTTTTCATGTGGCAAACCTGGTCTCCTCGCTCCGGGGCTGAGAACCCATCTGTGGCTTCCCATCACGCTCCCAGCCATCCCACAAAAGATTCTGGGGCGCTTACTCTGTGCTGGTAACTTCGGCCCCCAGGGAAACACTCTTTTAGGCCCTGACCTGGGCGCCTCCGAGCTTTGCTGATGCTCAGGCCTCTGCTCAGAACACCCTGTCTGGCCTTCACACTTGGCTCAGGTGACATTTCCTGTAAGAAGCCCTCCCCGACCCCAGGCCAGGTGGAGGTTCCCTCTGGACCCCCACAGCCTCCGGGGCCCCTCACCGCAGCCCTGGCCACATGCTGGACACCCTGTACGTTGGCTGCATCTTGTGGCGTGCAAGCTCCCGAGGGCGGGGCTCGGGCAATGCCCGGCTGCACGTGGCGTCAGGGCTTATTTGAATGAGCGAGTCGAAGAGTGCAATAGCCCGTGAATGAATGGAAGGGAGGTCAACCAGGGCCAGGTCCCGAAGGGCCTTGAATGCGGAGCAAAGGAACTCAGCCTTGATTGTCCGCAGCTTGGAGAATTCTCGGCAGGGCTCCTGGGGACACTGTAAGAATTGTGAGAGCATTTTCATTGTCCCGGGAATGGGGACTGGCTGGCATTTGGGCTGCAGGTGCCAAATTGGCCCACAAACTATTGCCTTGACCGCAGCCCCCACTCCACCCTACCAGCTGCTCATGTAAGTGACAAAACTGTTTATAATCATTGGAATCTAGGATCAAATGCTATTTTATGTGTACACAGAAAAGCTAGGTATGTTTTGCATGGCTGACACCCACTCCATCTTCCAGACTACCTGTATCAAGGGAGATTTGAGTGTTACTCAGATTGCACTAAGACCTGTTCGGCATTTTGGAAGCTCAAGCTGCTCATCGTGTTAACGTGGCTGACGCGTCACTTGGCATCAGCTCATTTAGATGCTCCTGTGTTCCCACGTGAGCACCTGGGGACTCCAGTGGGCATTCGTGGGCCACTGGCCTGAGCATCTTCATCTTTATGTGCATATTTTCTTCCAAGTGACTTTCTCCTCTCAATTACAGGAGATCACATTGTTTTTGAAAGGATGGGAGTCGGTGTGTTTCACTGTCTGTGAATTTCAATGCAGGGTTTCAAGGGGGCCTGCCAAGGGGTCTGTTATAAGAAGGGGGTGCTGGGTGTGATGCACCAAGAACCCCGGGGTGCAGTGGGAAGGGTGGTGGGGAGGACAAAGCTGTGGGAGCAGCATTGTGCAGGGGTTGGAGAGGATGCCTACGACAGAGGCTGAGCAGGGCATCAGCTGGGAGGTTGGAGGCATCCAGGACCGGTGAGACCTGGAGAGGACAAGGGCCAGCTGGGAGAAGCAGGGAGCCATCGACCAGACCCCCGAGCTACTGAAGAGTGTCCAGCTCACCGGAGGCTCAGAGGGGCCCCCGTGGAGAGCACTGGCCACCTCATTCAGAAGCCAGATTGGGAGGTCAGGAGGTGTAGACAGGGAGTGAGGATGGCTTTCAGACAGTCTGGCTGAGAAGGGGAAGAGGGAAAGATGCTGTGGGAAGAGGAGGGGTCAGGGAGCAGGTTTCCTGTTTTCAAGATGGGGAGACCAGAGCATGTTGGTGAGAAGAGAGGATGAAATCTGGGAGCAAAGTGGTATCCTTTGTGGGCTGCTGTCATCCAGGGGCTGCAGGCGGGGGTCTGCTCTTTCTCTGAGCCAAGGTCGGTGGGGAAGTGGGTGGGTGGGGCGCTGATGGGGGGGACAGGAAGTGGATCCTCTCTCTGAAGACCTCTGAGGGGTGGGGCTTCGGGTGGTAACTATGGTAACCAACAGCCATCATAAGGATAGTTAACAGCCCACTGGCACTTACTGTGTGCTACACCGCGGTCTAGGCTTCTTCCGCGAATGACCTCATTTATCATGCTGACATCAGTACTATGACCAGGTCCACTTTGTGGAAGGGAAAACTACAGCACAGAGAGGTTCATTGTCCTCTCCAAGGTCACATAGCAGGAAGGGAGGATGGCCGCCCTTAGCCCCGTCTGCAGGTCAGAGGTGGCTGGGGTTGGTGCTTCAGATCAGATGAAGATGGGGCGGAGACAAGATTGGTCCTGTCCAGAGTTTCCTCTGGGGGGTCAGTCTGGTCTCTACCCTCCTGGGGCCCTCAAGCTGGGCCGAGGTTCAAGGCCACTTCCTTTCTCTGATGCTGGTGTGTCTGGCTGGTTCTCTTGACACCAAGGACTTGGTTCCTCTTCCTGTCCCTTCCTTCTTCCCCCAGCCAGCTGAGTGGCCCTCTGCCTCTTGCAGCCCCTGCCATTCTCTCTCTCTGTGGCCTGCCCCTGGGGAACCTGGAGCCTCCAGATCCACTCCCAGCCCCCTGTGAGGACAAAAACCATGGGTTGTTGGTGGTAGAGGGAGAGAGGGTGTTGCTCAAGTGAGTGCAGTGTGTGGAAGGACAGTCAAGAATTTTGGCATGGGACCAGTTGGGTGTGAGGCCTGGCTTGATATTGACTGACTATGTGACCCCGGGGAGGCTGCTTCACTTCTCCAAGCCTCGGTTTTCCCATCTGTAGAATGGATTCCATAATAAACCTCCTCCACTGGTTCTCTCACTGAGAGGAGTCAGTGAGCCCATGCAGAGAGGAGGTGCACTGGATGCCTCAGGAAATGGCAGCTGGTGACCCCAAGAGCATTTAGTGGAGGTGATCAGTGTTTGACAGAGGACATAGGAGCTGGTGGATAGATGCTTGTTGAGGGAGTGAAGGAATGAATGAGGTACCATTGGGACGAGACTGCCACCTCCTGCCCTGTGTCATGAGTACCCATCTCCCTGTGGCTCCCAAGTCTCCTAGATCAAGTTGAAACTGAATTTCTGAGTCCCTTCCTTGGGGGTGGGGGTGCAACGAAGATGTTGTGGTCACAGTTGACCACAAGCCAAGTATGACTCAACCTGATGGGGCTCTTGTGAAAGAGAGTCAGGGCTGGGGTGGGAGGTGGGAGGTAACTTCTAACTTTGGCTCTTCGGAGAGACTTCCCCCCAGTCTAAGACAGAGGCCATGTGGAGTGGGGCTTCTGGTTTCTTTGGAGTGGAGATTCCAGGTCAAAATGAGGCTGGAGGGTTGGGCAGCTTGGGGCATGTCAGCACCCCCAAGTCCCCACGGCCCCTCATCTTGTAGGGAGGAGCAGGACGTTGCAGGTCAAGGTGGCTGTTAAAAGCATGACCTTAGGAGTCACTGAGTTGA